GGAGGGAGAGGAAGGGAGGAGTTTCCCTCGAGGGCCCATGGGCAGAACACCACCAGCAACGCACCGCAAACTGTGCGCAGTTTTGACTCCAAGCGCCGGCGAAGAGCAAAAACTGCACGCAGTTTTGACTCCAAGCGCCGGCTAGGAAGGGAGGGGCAAGGAAGCGGAGGAGGGAGGAGGGATGGGGGGAGGAAGGAGGACGGAGGAGGGAGGAGGGAGGAGGGGGGGTCATTTTTACGAGCGCCAACAGGAAAACAATGCAAGCGACGTTGCAGTCATTGCCATGGCTGCGGGGATCAGCGTCGACGCATCGAGCCAGTTGGCAAAATGAGCAGTTGCGTCAAACACTGTTGTCTGATATAATAACAATGCCTTTGATTTGCATTTCGCGACCGCATTTCGTGACAGCGACTTGCCTGGTAGCGGGCTGCCCCTGCAACAGCATGATTGGAATTTTACTGAGTACTTCCTGGGGGCGGCGGGCCTGTCGAGAGCTGGTTGGAAAAAGGGCCAGCGGCGAAAACTTCCACGCGCGAGGTGGGATAAGTTGGGCCGGAATTCTGCCCCTACCCCGCAGGGTCACCCGCCCGCGGAGCTTCCTCGCCCTCGCGCCGCAATGTTGTTCTGGGGCATTCCGGGGGGCCGTAATTCGTGACAATTTCGTTGCGCGCCGCCGCTCTCAGAAGGCCAATCGTTGCGTTTCGGGTGGGCGACTCGCTGAATCCCGTTCGACGGGCCACGAGTCTCCCCAAATCGCCCCCTTGTTGCATATGCAGTTACCGCAGACATGTGTAATCGATCCAACATCGTACCATATCTTCTCACTCCACATCCTGCGGCGCAAGTTTGAGCAACGTTTCTCGTCATTCGGCCGCCCAGGGCGGCGACCTCAGAGCGGGGGGGGAAAATAACAAATTACCCAACACACACAACGATGGACTGCACAGGCGCGTGCTGCAGTAGTTTCGCGGGGCTGCCAGGCACGAACTTCAAAAATGCAACAACTTAAACAAGTGCCCTTTTGCACGCGCCCCTGCTTATGCCGATGAGGAGGGCAAGGGGGGGGGGGGGGGGGGGGGGGGGGGGGCGCGATAGCTTGCTCGGCGCGGCGCCGAGAGGTGTCGCACCCTTCACATGCCGCGGACTCGGCGCGAGCCAGCCTGCAAACGCAGCGCGTTTCACATGTGACGGACTCGGCGCGAACCTGGGGGCGCCTTCGTGGGCGGCGGCCCCAGCAGCGTGCAGTAGCAATGGTAATTGGTGGGACAAAACATGTTGGCTCTTTCGGTTCGAGACGCAACCTCGATTTCCAACTAGCCCAACAACAGACACACGCGCGCTTCAAGGCCGAGCTCGGGCTGCATGTGAAGAGGCACGGAGAAGGCTCAAACGCCCTTGGCTCGCACCGCCTACCGCAGGGCAGAGTGGGAAGGAGGATCAAGCGCCACTTGCCCCGGCACCCCAGAGCGAAGGCCGCGTTGCGCGTAATCATACCTTCCAATGGCGGGCGCGCCAAGCTGCTAGTTTGACACCGAAACTATTTGAAACGCCCGCGCGGCCATTTTCAAAACCACCATGAACCATTTTCAACTTCAGCACCGCGCGGCCCGCAAGTGGCCTAGAACCATGAGAAAACCATTTTCATCATTCTTAATATGATCCCCGACATGCCCGTGACCCTATCCACCCCTTACTCCTGCTCGCGCTGCCCGGGGCGGCGCGGCGCGCCGCGTGGGCGAGAAGCACCGCCGCGGGCCGCTGGGGGCCTCGCAGAGAGGCGCCCCGCGACGCCGCCAAAGGACCTCGCCGCCCGCGGGAGGCTCCGCCTACTAACGCGCGCCAAGCGCGCGCCAAGCGCGCGCCTCGCACGCGGCTAGCGCGCGGCTTGCGCGCGGCGAGCGCGCGGCCAGCGCGCGCCGGTGCTCGGCTAGGGGCAAGCTACGATAGTGCATTGACATGCAAGAAAATGCCAGATATAACATGCAACGATACCAAATATATGATAAGACAAGATAGGGTATGCGGCGGCGCGGTGCTAGGATCTGCCCGGCAAGCTGATGCGCGACAATGCACAACAGCTGGCATGTGGCTTTCACCTTTGCCATTTCTACTCGCCAGAACCGCGGCGCACGCGCGCTCTGCGCAGCGAATGCCATCTTTCCACTGCGGGGGCAAGGTGCACCGGAAAACCAAATCGGTGCAACCCCAATGAATTATTAACACCGAGTCAGAAGAGGCGGCAATTCCAGCGTAGGATATACAATCTGCGCACTCAGTGCATGGCGCGCGCGTTCGGCACAGCGCATGCAGTTCTACGCAAAGAAGCGATGACGACTTGAAAACCCCAACGCGGGAAACCCAATGTGGAGGAGGCGGCCACACACATGTGGAACACATGAAACTGCCCAGGCAATGCAGCGCGCGCGATCGGCACAACGCACGCGCGCAGGCTCGCGCGGCGGGTGCGATGTTAACTCGAGAACACAGCGCTGGAAACAAGATGCGGGATGTCATGCTCAAGTCTCAAGAACCGGTCATCTCAATGTGGAGTATATCACCAAACGGCAGCACACGCGCGCTCGCGCCCGGCATTATGCACGCAGTCATCTAAAATGGAAACGGCGAAAACTCGCACCTCGAAAACCGAATGCCGAAGACCCAGCATCAACTTCCACTATCTGATCGGAGGGCGGTCGCCCGCATGTGGAATTGCAACGCGCGCGCGGCGGCCCCCCCGCCGCTGCGCCCAGCGCCGCGGCGCGCGGCGGCGCGCGCGGAGACGCGTCGACCACGCGCGTGCAGCGTAGCAATCTCTAGTAGTGGCCCCGGGGGAGGCCCCTGCATCCCGCCGCCGCGCTCCGGGCGGCCCAGCCTGCAAGGGCCTTGCGGGCCGCTGCAGTCCCGGCGACGCACTGCGACGCTGCGCCGCGGTCTGCGCGCCCGCGAAGCGGGCCGAGGCGCGGCGCCCGCTGTCGCGGACCTGGTGAATTATGCGAAGGAACCGATGTCACCCAAACAATCTGCCCCGTCGGAAATCGCGTGGGCGATTTCCCGGAAAAGATTTTCCCCGCGGGAAATCGCCGCGGGAATATCCCGGAAAATCCAGTGGAAAATCTCCCGCGTCGGAAAATCACCGTGGAAATCTGCCAGGCAATCCCCCGGCGCATCTCCCTTCGCCATCTCGAAAGCATAGTTGCGGACCTCTTTTTCGCAAGATTCTGCGAAAAGACCCTGGGGGGGGCCCGTGCAAATCTCCCCGACAATCGCCCCGTCGGAAATCTCCCGGGCAGCCCCCCCGTCGGAAATCTGCGGGAATCCTCCGGAAAATCTCCCGCGTCGGAAGCCCCCCCGGGAATCTCGCGGGACATCTCCCTGAAGTTCCCCCCCGTCGGAAATCATCTCCCGGAGGGTCCGCAAAATATGTCCTCGCGCGAGTGCGGCCTCCAAAACTCAGATTGGAGATCTCCGCGAAATCCCGGGGCCATTTTCTCCGGAGATATCCCCCCGCGGAAAATCTGCCCCCCGGAACCACTCAGCGGAAATCTCGAGAGACCCCCTGGGAAAACCCCCCCGCTGGACGTCTCCCGGACCCCGCCAGGACAGACCGCGCCCCCCGAAGATCTCGACGGCGCGCTCCCGGGGAACGCCCCGCATGCCCCACGGAAGCCCCCCATCAATAGGAATTCGAAAAGATCTCAGCGGAAAAAGGCCGGGGCAAACCCCCCCCGGCACCCGCCGAAAACTACGCGCTGAATCACCCCCCATCTCATTCTTCTTGACCTCCCGACCTGCGCGGAAGGTGAGGAAGGTGATGCGTGTCTTGAAATGTCTTTGGATGTCTTGGAATGTCTTGAATGTCTTTGGATGTATTTGAATGTATTTGCTTGTGTTCGTAACTCGTGTTAATTATGTGATGGTGTGTTGCTGCTCTCGGGTTAAGTTTGTCCATGTTGTTGGTGCGTGGCGATGACGATGATGGTAATGATGATGGTGCTGGTGATGGGGGTCATGATGGTGATGATGCCCTATCTAGGGGTACCCCTATTCGGGCTACCCCTATATATATATATATATATCCCTACTTCTACTCCGCCTACCCCATATCTAGGGGTAGGCGGACTAGGAGTAGGGATATGCGGCTGCCCTGGCCATAACACCTAGCACAGGGGGGCAAGAGTAGGTGTAGGAGTACTGGTAGAAGTAGGAGGCAGCGGAGTGGTGGGGGTAGGGGTAGGAGCAGCGGTAGGAATAGAGGTAGGAGTAGGAGTTGGCGGTAAGAGTAGGGCTGGGGCAGCAGAGGTAGAAGCAGGGGTGATAAAAGCAGGGGCAGGCGTAGGGGTAGGAGTGCGCGGAGGAGGAGTTAACCAACATAACAGCACCCTGACCCCATCCACACCCCCTGGCCATGACCGCACCCTAGCCACACCCCACAGCACCCTAACGATTACCCAGCCATAGCCCTGGCACCCTAGACTTAACCACGCCCCAACGTCCAGACCCTAACCCCGCTCACCCACCTCTAACCCTTACGACCCTGATTAAACCCCGACGCCGTGCTCCGACTCCGCACCCCCGCCCTCGAAGGCGGCAGCGCTGTGGAGCCGCCGCTCGAGGACAGCCACCCCCGCGGCTCGCCCAGCTCGATCGCCCCGATCGCGGGCGCGGTCCGCCCGCCGGTGGCGCCGCTCAGTGACGAGGAGTCCGACGTGCCCGCGGAGTCGGAGGCGTACGACGACGACGACGACCACGACGACGACCACGACGACGACGACGACGACGACGACCACGACGACGACGACGTCGACGACGACGACCACGACGACGATGAAGACAACGACGACGACGGGGACGGCACTGGTCATCCCGCACTTCCCCCGCGCCTCCTTCGCCCGCGCGCCCGCTCGGAGGTAGGGGGTCGGCAACCCAGGGCACGCCTGTGCCCCTGGATGGCAGACCTTCTACCTCTGATCGGGCGGGAGAGCGAGGCGGCGACGGGGGAGGTGCGCAACGACCAGCGTCGTGCCCTCCGCCGAGGCGTCGAGCGAGGAGTGCGACTTCATCGTCATCAAGAAGTGGGCCTTCCGTCGGGTCGACGGCTTCCCAGCGGGCCAGGTCTGCGCGGCGCGCGACGGCGCCGCTGTGTTCATCTGGAACGATGGCGACAGGTGGATGTGCAATAACATGAAGTGCAAGGACGCGCAGAAGCCGACGCAGAGGTCCGATCGGACGCCGCCGGGGAAGACGAAGAACACCGGCGACGTGGGCAGCGGCCCCAAGGAGCCGAAGGGCAACGGCAAGGGCTCGGGCGGCGCTGGCGGCGGCGATGGCGCCAAGGGCGACGACGCCAAGACGCTGAAGGGCGCGGGCGGCGCTGGCGAGGCCGAGGGCGCCAAGGGCGGCAAGGCCAGGAAGCGCAAGAGCAAGGGCGGCCCTGGCGACGGCGAGAGCGTCGACGGCGAGAAGGGCATCGGCAATGGCTCGGACGGCGCTGCTGTCGGCGACGGCGAGAAGGGCATCGACGAGGGCTCGGACGGAGCTGGTGACGCCGACGGCGCGGGCCGCGGCCGCGGCCGCGGCCGCCGCGGCAGGGGCAGGGGCAAGAGCAACAGCAAGCAGGAGGCCCCCGAGGAGGAGAACGACGGCGAGAAGGCCAGCGGCAAGGGCGCCAGCAGCGCTGGCGCCCGCGGCCGCGGTGGCCGCGGCCGCGGCAGCGGCAACGGCAAGCAGGTGACCACCGCCGAGGGCGAGGGCGGCACGGGCAGCAACAAGGGCGCCCAGGGCGAGGACGAGGACGACAAGGGCAGCGGCGCGCAGCAGGACGCCGCGCAGGCACCCCTTCCTCCTCACCCTCATACCCTCCTACTCGTAATCCACCTCTCACGTCTTAAGTGTGCGCCGTCTCCTCGTCCGCCAATGTTCCCCACATGAGTGGCCCCCCTCTCCTCCGAGGCCGTCGGCAAGTGGAACCCGAACCCCGACCCGCGGGAGGTGGTCCAGGCCGAGATCGCGGAGGCGAAGGAGCTGTGCCAGGCGCTGGGCCGCTACAAGGTGGCCTCGCACGATTCGCCATTCGCCATCCTCGCCCTCTGGCATCGCACCCCACCCGGTTCACCCTTTCTCCTCGCCCCATCCACCTCTTCCTGCTCGCCTCCATCCTTGCACCATCGCCGCGCCCTCCTCCTCGTCGCAACTCTGGCTCGCTCGCCGCGTGTCCTCTACCTTGCCACTGTGCCCCTCGCCCCGCCCGCCCTCATTCCGATCGCGCGTCGCCCTCCGCGCCCCGCTCGCGCGGCACCTCTCGCCCCACGCAGTCGCCCCACCTCAGTCAGACGGCATGGAAGGGGGCTTAGGAGTGGGACGGGCTGTGCGAGAGGGGCGCGAAATGCGACATGCGATCGGATCGATGGTGGACGAGGGCGCGCGTCGTGGCGGGGGCATGCCCCCCCCCCCCCCCCCCCCCCCCCCCCCCCCTTCCCTCACCCCAGGTGGGCGTCTCGCCGCGCCCGAAGATCTGCGGCTGGGAGTGCTTCATCAGGGATCGCTCTGGCCAGAAATGGACCAAGGTGTCGGACGCCAGAATGCACGTGGCCGCCTCGCTCAAGGGGGCCGCGGCTTGGGCGAACGCGAAGATGGCCGACATGGTCAAGGGAGACGAGGCCAAGGGGCTCGCCGAGCCCGAGGCGGCGGCGATGGGCGGCGCTGCCCCGCCCGCGGCGGCCGAGCCCGAGCCCGAGGTGGAGCGCGCTGCCCCGCCCGCGGAGGCCGAGCCCGAGGCCGTGGATATCGTGGAGTCCGAGGGCGACGCAGCCAAGACGGTCAGCGATGCCGAGGTCGTGGAGTCCGTGGGCGACGCAGAGATGGCGGGGGGCTCGCAAGCGCTGCAGAACGTGAACGCCATCTCCGACGGCCCCGACATGAAAGGCGACACCCTGCTGGAGGACATGCAGGTGGACAGCGGCTGGAAGGCTGAGCAGATGGAGGACGACGAGAGGGCCGAGAAGCGGATCCGCATCAGCAGCCAGGCGGCCGACGACGCTGACTAGGGCGAGACCGAGATCAGCAGCGACATCGGTTAGGGCCTGGCCCCGCGGCTGCGGGATCTCGCTCTGGATGAGAGCGACGGTCACGAGGATGGTGCTGGCAACGAGGATGTATGATGACAATCATGGGGGCGATAAAAGGGCAAGGGTGGGGGCGAGGAGGGACGACAAGGATGAGGGCGATGCGGGCAACGAGGAAGATGACATCATCAGCTTCGTTGCCCGCATCGCCCTCATCGTACTCGCTATCCCTCTTCCCTGAATTACTGCAGAGAGGAAGGGCAGTGATGGCGAGCAAGTACTGCCATAGTCATTCGTAAGGATGAGCAACCTTACAACTGCCATTGCATCCTGATCGCGGGTCCTTCAATGGTTCGGCCGCGCAATGACGTGCATCCCCGTGCACCATTGTATCATATCCTCGAAAAACCCTATGAGATCCTTGCATCATTGCACCCTCGCGTCCTCGCCGCCCGCCCTTGCAGCTGCGCCCTCCCGCCGAGCGCATTCATCGCGCGCGCAGGGCGGTGCCGCATCTTTTGTGGGAGCACCGTTTGTTGGTGCGGAGTGGACCGGCGCCGCTCCGTTTGAAGCTGCTCGTTCATACACGCTGGTATGGTCGGCGGGAGCCGCCCTGCCAACTCCTGGTTTGGGGAAACGCCGCTCGCTCGCTCTCGCCCTCGTGCGCTGCCTGCTTCAGTCGAGTCCCCATCGTGCGCCCCGTCGGTTGCCCGATTAGATTTCCTGGCTCGCAGGGGGGGGGGGTGCCTCGTCGCCGCGGGCGGGCGCGCCTCGAGATCCTGGCCCAGCGTGCCCTGGCATAGCTCAAGGAATTTGGCTTGGTCGAGGGCCCGAGGGCAGCGCCAAATCCTATGCTGGTAGCGCGGGCCCGCCTAGTTGCCCACGTTCCTCTGTAGCCTCTTGCTCCTCGCTCACATCTCCACTCCAATCTGCTCGCCCTCATCGCCCCCCCCCCCCCCCCCCCCCCCCCCCCCCCCCCCCCCTCCCCGCGCCGCCTTCCTGCTCATCCTCCGCCTCCTCCTTCCCCTTATCTTCCTCCTCCTCCTCCTCATCCCCCGCCTCCCCTCGTCAGCCCAATCCCCCTTCTTGCAGCCATCCTAATCAACATCGCCACCACCAAGATCGTCGTCATCCTCCTCCTCCTCCTCCTCTTCCTCATCAACATCATCATCATCATCGGCATCATCATCACCATCATCATCATTATCACCATCATCATTATCATCATCATCCTCATCATCATCCCCATCAGCATCAACATCATCATCAACATCATCCCCATCACCACCATCATCATCACCATCATCATCCTCACCATCATCATCATCACTAGCCGCCTTCGGCTGAAGGCTCCGGACCGTGGACATGCAACTATGGACTAGCGAATCCATCGGTGGGCATGCAGCAAGCTGCATAGGCATAGGCACAGCACACCGCCTAGAGACACGCACGAATATCGACAAATGTCGGCGGACACGCAGCGCCACGAACAGACACACAGCCAACTAGAAACATGCGAATACCGTGCGACGCCCTGCACGACATGCACGGACACCAGCAGCCAACTAGAGACATGTGAAGACATCGACGTACATCGGCGGACATGCAGCGGCATGCAGAGACAAACTGCGACAACTCAAGACATGCGAAGACATCGGCAGACATCGACGGACATGCAGCGACATGTACGGACACAGGCAGACAACTAGCGACATGCAGCGACATACAGCGACATACAGCGACATGCAGCGACATGCAGCGACATCCAGGGACATGCGAAGACATCGACGGACATCGGCGGACATGCAGCGACATGCGCGGACAAAGGCAGACAACTAGAGACAAGCGAAAACATCGACAGACATCGGCGGACATGTAGCGACGAGCAGCGACATGCAGGACCGCGCGCAGACAAGTAGAGACATGCGAAGACACCGGCGGACATCGGCGGACACGCAGCAGCATGCACGGACACGTGCAGACACGTAGAGACACGCGGCGACATCAGCGGACATGCAGCGACGCGCAGTGACACGAGCAGACAACTGGGGACATGCGACGACAACGACAGACATTGGCGGACACGCAGCGACACGCAACGACATGCACGGACACGCGCGGGCATGCAGGGGCAAGCGGGGTGCCCAGCCCCACCGACATGATGCCCATGTGTTGCACTGACCACCATCATCATCTTCTTACCGCCCTCCTTCCTTATCCTTTTATAGCCTTCCTGCTCTGGCTCTCCTCTCCGCACCTCCGCCCCCCGATTGCGACCGCCTTGGCGTGCGCCCGACCCACCAGCGACAATGCAATGACATGTGCAAGGGGCCGTGACCCTGGGACCACGAACGCAGCGCAACTCTCTACGTATAGCTGTGCAAGGTGTTGTTTCTTCGGTTGGCAATGTCGTTGGTTTGTTGTGCGCGTGGTTGCTTGCTGGTTTCTTACGCAGTGCCGATGCAATCCCTAGCGCACCGCGTATCGCCACCAGCGCATCCAGAAACGACGTTCCGATGAACTGCCTGGCGGAGGTACGCAGAACGCACGCTGTGAAACAACGGCGCAACGGATGTGCGGGGTTAGTTGCTTCGGTGAGCCCGGCAAAGCAGCTCGCGACGGTGGTGGCGGTGGCGGTGGTGGTTGTTGTGTGCGTGATCGCGTGCGTGTGTGAGTGGTGCACGTGCGCGGGCGCGGCGCGCGGGCGCGCGGGCGCGCGGGCGCGCGCGGGCGGGGCGGGCGGCGCGGGGCGGGCGCACTTCGCAATTTGCCCGACGCCGCGCGCCGCACACGGGGGCTGGCCAGTACCAGATGCCGCGCGCCATCTGCAGGGAGCGCGGGTCATCGTGCAAAATGCCAAGAAGCGCGCGCCACGCGCGCGGCGGGAGAAATGAACCACGGCATATCCGATGCGGCACCCGCGCATCGGGCGTGGCTCGGCAAGCTATCCGAGGTCGCGCGCCGCGCGTGGATGGTGCGGGGGCGGGGCTGGTTGGGGGGCCCCGCAGAATTTCGGGCGCCGCGCGTCACGCACGCCAGCGCAATGGGAGGGGGAGTGCAACTTTGCGACGCGGCGCGCCGCTCACGGGTGTGAGTTTCGCATATATAGGTGGCAAACTGCCCGATGCCGCGCGCGCCCCTGAGGGGGCAGGGCGGGTGGGTGGGTGGGCGGGCGGGCGTTTTTTTTTTTTTTTTTTTTTTTTTTTTTTTTTTTTTTTTTTTTTTTTTTTTTTTTTTTTTTTTTTTTTTTTTTTTTTTTTTTTTTTATTATATATATATATATTATTATATTTATTTTTTTGGGGGGGGGGTGGGGGCGCGCGCTGCGTGCGGATGGGGTGGTGGTGGTGGTGGTGGTGGTGGTGGTGGTGGTGGGGGGGATGGGGCCTGCGCGCCGCCGCGCCGACGTCGCGCGCCGCGGCGGTGGACGCGCCGTTTCAAGCGAAGCTTCGTAAATTATCGAATAATGTCGCCAGGCCAGGGACCCGCAAGGCTTCGCGGGGCCTCGCAAGATGTCGCGCTGCTTGCGCGGGGTTCTCCTGTCATCGCTCAGTCTCGCAAGCGGCCGTGGGATCTGTAAAAATCATAGCGTTGGTTGAGCATGCGAATTGAAATTTAGGATGATTCAGTCATTTGGGTTGCCTAAGGTTCAATTGAAATCGTCGGGGTTCCGCGCGCGCGTGCGGGGCGTCAGTGGGGCGCCCCAGGGTGCGCCAGGAACGCCTGGGGCGCATCGAAATTGCACGGAGCCCCCTGCAGGGTCCACTTGGGTTGCAAAAGGGTTACGTTGCATCCCGCTGGGCGGCCAGGGGTTCCCCTGAATTGCCCCAGGGCCCTGAAGCCCCTCCGTGAATTTCTAATGCTTCCATGGGGAGGGGGGGGGGGGGGCTTCGGGCGCCGCCGCGCGCGTCGCGATGGCCGTCGGAAATGCGCGGGGAAATGCCGTTCGCACCAGAGCGGGCGGGGGAAACGGGAGGGGGGCGCGCTGGGAAATGCGCGAAGACAGACGCCGGGCATTGGGGAAACATCTGAACGTCAAAATGCACGCAGGAGGCGCGCGGCACTCACCGCGCGAGAGATGCGGCGCATCGGGGGCGGCGCCAACTGACCGCGAGGGCGTCGGGGCGCGACTCACGACGGGCGACGCCAACGCCCACCAGAGGCGTCGAACCCCCCCCGCCCCGCAGCTTGCAGCAACGCCGCTCGCCCCCCCCCCCCGCGCCGCCGCCCTGAGCGTTCGCGGCGCATCCAAGAATGCTTGCGCAGGGCTCCGCGCTTGCGGGGTCAGAGGCAAGAGCAGAGGCGACCGTGGAGGCGGCCGAGGGGGGACGAAATAGGAGAGGGAAGGATATAGGGCGCGAGTGGATGAACGTCGCCAGCAGCACTCGCGCCGCCACGCCCGCGGACGGAAGTCGAGGCACGCGGCGCACGCGGCAGCGCGTTGCCGATCGGCCCCCCGAAGCCGCCCAAAAGCACCGGCCTGGACCGCGGCTCGGAGAGCTGCGGGGGGGGGGGGGGGGGGGGATAGTTTAATATGTTTGTGTTATATCTATATCTTCTCTCTCTCTCTCTCTCTCTCTCTCTCTCTCTCTCTCTCTCTCTCTCTCTCTCTCTCTCTCTCTCTCTCTCTCTCTCCCTCTCTCTCTATGTATATACATGCGCCTAAAAACGCCCTGCCGCGACCCGTAACAATAAGATTTGCAAGGCCCCGAATAAACGAACTACCAGCGCCAGCTATGCTTGGTAGTGGCGTTGAGAAAACAATGATGCGGGGCCGGGCAATCAAAACAACACGAGACTTCCTACGCACATGCATGGGCGATCGTAGTCGTAACGCATTGCGCGCCATGTTCACATGTTAGCTTTTGGTCCAATTCTTGGTTATGCTCACATGACCCCACCAATTCCAATACGTTCTACACAACTCATTTTTTATATTAAAAAAAATTGTCACCCGCATCATCGGGTTGGGCGCAGATTCCTTTCGTGGGCACCGTCAATGAGCGTCCTTGTGTGGCGGATTTCAATTGTATTCCACTCGTTGGGGGTTACACTAAGACCTACAATCGGATTCCTTGGGTGACATAGGATTGCACTAGGATCCCCTGCGTGGCGGATTCCAAGAAGGATGCCATGTGTGCTGGATGTCAATAGGATTTCTTGCGCGGAGAATTACAATCATTTTCCCCTTGCGGAGGATGACAATCGGATCCCCTTCGAGGAGAATCAGATTCGGATTCCTTGGTGGTCGATTTCAATCAGATGCCTGAGTTGGAAACTGTAGCATGACCTGCTGGATGACAATCAGAATCCTCTTGTGGAGCATTACAACAAGATTTTTTAAGATGGAACTAGGAATTACATTGTAGACGATTGCAACAGGATTGTTTGTCAAGGATTTGTTCGGATTCTTGTTGTGGAGGATTTCGCCAGGATTCCGTTCGTCGAGGCTTACATTCGGATTCCTGATGTAAAAGGTTTCACTAGAACTCATCGTGGTGGATTACAATCAAACCCCTTGCGTGGAGGATTACAATCGGATTCCTCATGCGGAGGATTACACTAGAAACCTTGTTGTAGACGATTACATCAGGACTCATCATGTGGAGGATTACAATCGGACTCTTTGTGGAGGATTTTACACACAAAAGATTCCTCGTGGAGAATTACATATCGGATTCCTTCCTGCGGGGGACTCCGATAGGATGTTTTGTGGACGATTACAATAGGATCCCTTATGTGAAGGACTAAAATAGGAGTCCATGCGTGGGGCAAAACAAAGTAAATTTTCGGGGACTCTCGCGCAGGCGGAATTGCCCAGAGATTTCGCAAATTATTTGTACGTGAAGGGGGGGCCTGGAGATTTCGCCGGAGATTCCGGTAGAGATTCGGCAAAGATGTCAAACCTCGTGGGATTTGTCAGGAAAGTTCCTCTGGAGATTTCGCCAGGGGGTTTTGCCGAAGATCTGAAGGGGCAGCGCACCGATGCAGGAGATTCCAGAGAGATGTTCGAAAGATCCTGGGGGAGTTTCTGGAACCCCTCCATGTCTTACTCGACGCGATCTAACTCCAGTGCCCAAGTCGCACCAAAGGTAAGGTCACCCTCATCGGGTGCTCGTTCACGGGGGGGGGAACACGGGGGGTGAAGCAACGTGTACCGTTCATGCACCTTTTCGGCCTGCGGCGGCAGTTTGGGAGCAGTTCGGAACCCCTGCAGGGCCGCCCCCCCTTCAGTGCTCAATCTCCCCCACGCTTACTGCCCCTCCCCGTTGCCGTCCGCACGATCTCGGGTGCGTTAGCTGGGAGCTCCCCGTGTCCTCCGACGGGTCAGCAGAAGGGGGGGCGGCTCGGTTCCTGCTCGGCCTGCGGGTCGACCTGGCGGCAGGCGTCCTCGTAGGACTTGATGCGGGACCTGGGGGCCTCCTCCCATCCAGCAGGGCTCCTCCGGCCGTCCCTCGTGCTCACTCCTCCCTCCGATCCTTGCCTCCCGCCAAGATCGGTGAGGTGGTCAGTTGACTCCCCCCGGGGTAAAGTACTTCGGGGGATCGCGCCGCATCGCCGATATTTCGTCGACGCATCGGCGACGTGATGGGTGGAGCAGATCTGGCTCTGGCTGTCTCCGCATCGCCGTTGCCTCGGCGATACTTCAGGGGACGTCAACTGACAACCTCACCGATTCTGGCCAGGTCCGTCCTTGGCCCATGATCAATGCATGGGCGTGGCCAGGGAGGCGCGCAGACACGGTCCCTGGGCACAAGATCGGCCTTGGCAGAATCGGTGATGGCTTCTGTTGGCGTCGCCCGGCCTATGCTGGCCTCATCTGGGCGGCCTGGAACTTCCCGCCCCCCTGATGGCGCCTGGCGCCAGTCGCTCTCACCCCAGGCATCCAGATCCAGGCCAGAGGAGCCCTGCAGCTGCCGGACCCGGATTTCTCGAAAACGGCCCTGCGCGACCCCACACTCAAGCGGCTCCGGCTCCCTCACTCCATCCGTCCGCCGTTGTCCTCGCATCCCTCCCTTAGCATGAAGGGCACGGGTCCTGAAGGAAATGGGTCCTAGAGGTGTCTCACCCTTTTCGGGCCCCTGGGGTTTTCTCCGGTCCCCGGGGCCGACAAAGACGGCTCGGAATAAGGACTAGGCTTTGGGAAAGACCCGGAGTGCAGAACTCGACTTCCCTCAGGACGCTGCAAGAGTGAACCTTTGATCGGAATACGCACACGGGTGAAATCTAGGACCCCGTAAAAAGACCCACGTGGTGAACACCATGCCTACTCGAATTGTATATCCCTACCCCTCATTGACAAGGGTGGTCAGAGGTCGCATGCACAGGTGAGGGCGTATTGTCTTGATGTGATTAATGGCGACCTTTTCATTCCTCCCCCTCCCCGAGTGCCCAACCTCCACACACCAGTTGCACGCTGAGCATTGCTTGCCACTCCGCCGACCGCACGATGCCTCCACTGCCACTCCCCCTGCCGCGCGCCTCATTTCTCACAGTCTCTCGCCCTTTCGCGCCCTCCCTCCACGAGGAGCTCCAGCAACGGACGAAAGTGCTGTCACGGCGACCACAAAACCGAAAACCGACCGCACCCGCAACGAAACCGAACACCGAAACCGATAGTTCGGAGGCAGCCTATCGGAGTCGGCGGCGCGGCAAACGACACGACAACCGGCCGAGCCGAAGCAACCGAACACAACCGAGCGTGACGCGCCTGAACCGACCGAGCCGCGAACGTTCCTCCGGTCCGACTCGTCGTCCTTCTTGTTCGCCGCTCCTGCGTCCCTCCTCATTATCCTCCTCGTTCGTTTCTTCTTCTTCCTCCTCCTCCTCCTCCTGTTCCTCTTCCTTCCCCTCCTTCTCCTGTTCCTCCTGATTTCAATCTCCAATCCAACCAAAAAAACAAAACGAACAACCAAAACGGGGGCAGGAAGGGGGGAACCGTCAAACCATACTGCTTGCGGACACTGCGCTAGTTTGATGCGACCGAACACCTTTCGTCTGGCACTCCGATCGCGGCTTTCTTTCGGAAAGGAGAACGACCGCGCAGCATGAACCGAAGAACAAGTGCAAGAGCTGCCTGCCAAACGTGCCGCATTTCGAACAACATGCCGTGGGGATCGGAGAATTTGGATCGACAGCCCACAATGCGTGGGATTTTTGCGCAAGGCGTGCTACTCTGGGCCGCCCCTGGCACCTGCAACTGGCAAGTGAAGAGAAGGTCCGACCTGTCCCAATGCAACGTCAGCAAAAATATCCCTGTGCCCACAATATCAAGATAACGTGGCCATTGCGTTCGCGGGCCAGGGCCAGACCAGCTTATTTTTGCGGGCGACCACCTCGGTAGCATCACGGACAGACGGCTTGCACGCACGCCTGGGCAGTAAACCCTGTAACTGAACCAGCGATTGCATATTTCTCGTTGCCTCTGACTTCGCCAAAATACAAACTATGGGTGTGAGATTTCCGCAGCAGCATATTTGGCCGCGCGGTCGGCCACCGGATTTCCTTTCCAGGCCCAAGACGGGCCCCCAGCATTCGCAACTACAGGCCCTCTCTGGTCAGCTGGAATTTCGAAAACCTGGAAGTTCTCGGGCCCACGATGCACGCGCCGAAAGCCAATCTCATGCCAGAACTCACCGTAGGAATATAACCCGCGCCTACATCGGCCCCCACAGGGCCCCTGGGCCCACACTTTGATCAGACGCCCACAATCAGAACCAACCACATTCTCGCCTGGACCCGCGAGCCGACAACACATCAGCACGGCGCGCACTTAGGGGCCGCAAATAGCGCGCAGACCATGCTCCAAAGAGCCACGCGCCGAGGCTAAGATGCCTCCAGCGTCGTCGAAAACCAGAAACGCCCATGCGGCCCTAGTGAACAAGCGAAGCTCAGGGCCCAAAGCGGGCCCGTCGACGCAGGCGCGCCCAGCGATCCAGCCGCGGCGAGGAGGAACCACCCACCGCCAGTAGCTGACACCGCGCAAGCGAGGCATATACGAAATCACACATTGCTGCAAACACCTGGATGGCAAGGGATCTCTGGGCCCCCCCGATTGCCGCAGTCGAAATGACCTGCCATAGCCAAGCGCGCGTCTAGACGGACAGCCCGCATCGCGAATGCGGACTCGGCGATGCCCCGCGCCCCTGGAACCGAAACGCACCCGGCGCCGAGGACTCAAAACCCGACGGCCCTGAAAGCTCTGCCCGCGGAGCGAGCCCCCCCCCCGACGCACAGGCAGCCAGCGAACCGGCCTGCGCCGCCTTGCCCGAGGACCTAGACCCGTGGCAAGCCGGAACAGCAGAACCCAGTCAGGACTTGAAATACTCATGTTCCGATATCCACAGTCTACGCTGGCAAACCAATGATCTCTCGTAGCAGTACTCGGATGAACGCGCGCGCGCGCCCGAATCGCACCCGGGCCCAGGGCCGGCCCCGAAAGATGGGCCCCCCGCCGAAGACCCTGGGGGGCCCATCCAAACCGACGCAAAGTGGGAATCACCGCTCCAGTCGGCCCTTCGGCCTTCCCCCAAGAGAACGACTCCCCTTCCCGCGCGGAACAAATAATGAACTCCACTTGGCCTCGATGGGCCCGCCCCCTCCGGGATGCCTGGCCCCGAGCCGCCAGAGGCAACGCGCCGCTAACGCAACTTGGGTTCTGCCTCGGGCGCCGGGGAAAATCAAAGCGAGATGGCAGGCGACCTGCCTCGAGCAGACCCGAAGAGGCCCAGTCCCACTGCCGCTCGCAGACGTTCTAGCCTGCGATTCGAGATCCACAAGACGCCAGTGCCGCGCGACTACACTGGGATCGCCCCTGCCTTCGCGACGAGGGAGAGCTTCTTGCGCCGTGGCTCGCGCGATCGCAGCCTGCCTACCCGGGGTCGAACTTCGCGACTCCGCTGAGCCTGAACCCCTGCCCGGCGCCCTCCAGCGAGGCGCCCAGCGATGTCCGCCCCCAGGTTCCGATCATGACTCGAAGGCCTGGGCGTCCAATCCTGAAGCTCTGTCGCGATCTGCTGAGCGACCTCCGAGGAAGTAGCAGCAACCCCCCCCTTGGACAACGAGATGACAAGATGCCGAGCTTCACGGCCCCGACGCAGCGCTTTCGCGGCCGCAATGCAATAGTAGCACGCGAGCGGGGCCGCGCCAACGACGCGCGGAGATGTCTCGAAAGAACCGCCGCGCATCTGGATGCACGGCGACCCCGGAGGAGAAAGTTCGGGGCCCGATGCGCCCGCAGGCACAGACGAATCTGATAGGCCACCAGCCGCTGCAATGAGATGCCCGCGCGAAGCCTTCTCGAAGGCCTCGGTGAGGTCCGGAAAACTGTTGGCCACGTCAAGTTGTCGGGCAAGAGCGCGACCTGTGGAAGACGACTGCTCGCGAACAGCTCTCTCCCATTCCCCTCGCCCCATCACGGCGCGATCCATCGTTCTGGGCCCCCCCAACTCCCCGCGGCATCCCTGGGGAGCTTGCCGCGGAGTCTCCGCGCCATGCCAATCAGGCAGATGAGCCTCGCGCCCCCCTCGGGCCCGGGCAAGGGCGGCACGGGGGCCGAAGAGGGTTGGGCCGGCAGCGTTCCCAAACGCACAAACAAGCCTCACAGAAGGCGCAACCCTTCCAGGCATACATCAGAAACCAAACAGAAGCCACGAGGCCCCAGGCGGTCAACTCCCAAGAAAGCCCAGGCCTTGAACTTTCGGGCAGCTCGTCGGACATCACCAGGCTCGAAATGAACTCGCGGGCGCCCCTGGGCGGCCAGGAACGCCGAGAGGCCCTTCGCGCGCAACTCGCGGCGAGGCCCCCCAAGCCCCGAGACATCTCTAACCCAATCCCCCCCCCAATCACGCAGATGGCCCTCCAATTGCTTTTCGGGGCCAGGAGTGGCAAGACTCCCCTCGGAGAACATGAAGAGGCCTCTACCCCGCAATACACTTAGTATATCTTTGAGCCCGGCCCTCGCCGGTAGCCGCGGCATCTGAAAAAAAAACGGCCACGATGTGCTCCGCGCGCACTAGAGAAAGCTGCCTCGAGACGCATTGCCTGGTTACCAGCGAGGCGGGGGGGGATCGCGGAGCAACGCCGAGGATGGACTTGACCAATCTGCTGCAGGCTGGCAAACATTCGCTCAGGCTGCGGCCCCTGAAAATGCGCGGGCCAATGGTCATCTTCTCTAGTAGGCGACACGCCAACATGGCATCGCGACTTCAGGCAAGGCATGGGCGCGAGCACCCCCCCTAAACAAGTTAGCCACCCTTCTCCAAGACTGAGCGCCCCCGCCCGCGACGGGAAAAGTGCCCCCTCACCCCGGGCAGCCCGCGCGGCCCTTTTAGCGACCAGCCTAAACCACGACCTCGGCACCCCGCCCCCTGGCCCTCCGGGGCCCCGCGGGCGCCCAGCAGCTCGATCTCC